TGATACCAAAGAATCAGATCATTCTTTGTTGTTAAAAACAGGCAAAGTTATGAAAATTCTCGGCCTCCAGTCCAGTGTACCGTCGACCTCCTGCCGCTTCAATCTTTCGTTACGAAACGTATAATGATCTCCGACATTGCTCTGCTCTTTGATCGGTTATGTTGGTTGGCGCCGATTGTCATCACAGCGAAGATCTTTGTAGAAGACGTGGCTATCTGGAATGAACTGAGATTAGGAACTACCGCCATACCTACATAAGGAATGGTTAGAATTCCGCAATGGGCTGTCTGAATTAGCTGAGATGCGATTTCCTCGATGGATTTACTCGTAGCGAAACGATCAGGTGTGCGAGTTGCATGGATTCTCAGAAGCATTTAATGCGGCATATGCAGCAGTAGTATATGCGCTGATAGTGGATGCTCAGGGATTACCTGATCACTTCAAAAATGAGATAAAACAAATCTCGATCCCTCCCTAGAACTCTGCAGTGCGGTGTTGCTAGCGAAACTTTTGAACAAATTAGTTATCGGATGTACAAAAATACCTAAAGCACGACTACACGATTGGTCCGATTCTTCAATAGTTCTAGCTTGGCTTAGCAGCCATCCAAGTCGATGGAAAACATTCATTGCGAACAGGGTTTCTGAGATACTTTCAGTCTCAAAGGAGAACCCAGCAGACCCTGCATTGCGAGGATTAATGCCATCAGAATTTGTAACAAACCAGCTATGGCGTAAAGACCCTGATTGGTTACGGTTCGACGTAATAAATTACGAACGGAATATAACAGACACAAACCTAGAAGAAAGGAAACCAAAAATTAAGAGCTACATGTCTACGGCAAATGACAAAAAAGACAATTTGCCATCGAAATATTCTTCCCTGAAAAAACTTACCCCAGTCGTGTCGTTCTGCCGAAGAGTCTTACGATGGAAGGAACCTGAAAAAAGAAAGGAAAAGATTAGTACACAATTAACAGCAAAAGAACTACCCTTGTTGCCTCAGCCAGTTTCAGAATCCTTGGTGTCGACATATCGAGTGACGTGCAGTTTCGTGGTCACTTGGAAGAGAAGGCCAAACTGGCCTCTAAAAAGTTTGACTTACTCAGCAGAGCGGGACAGAAGAGTTGTTGCATCTCTTTGCGTGTTTTATAATATTATATATATATATATATAAAGATTTAAAAAAAAGTTTTTTGTCTATGGCTATGTTCATCTCAAAATGTTCTCTTGTCTTCAGTAGGCCTGGGTCGTATCGCGTTTTCTGAGAATCGTATCTATATCGGATTTCGAGTTTCAATATCTGATGTCAAAACTATATATTTCAATATCTATATATTCTGCGTACGCGTTTATACTATTTTCTACTCCGATACGACGTTGAATTCGTATATAAGTTTGTAATTCAAGACCATCCACAATTGACTTCTTGCTTAGCCGTATTTATGCCCTCTAGCGTCATCTTTGCGTACCACCTTGAGAGCTAATCAATTTTCGTTCGATAAAATGACTTTAGAATGGAGTAGATGGCGGTTTACAAATCAGTTTTCCAAATAAAGTATTTTTTTTAAAACATCAATACAACCATGTATTCTTTTGATTTATTTCATTAAAATTTAGGTTTCACATGTCTAAAAGTAAGGATTGTAACAATTATTTGCTATACTTAAAGTTAAACTTATATGCAATATTTAATACTGAACTTGTGGTTGAAAATAATCATAAAAATAAATCGTTTGCCGTTAAAACTTTTGAAGTGTTGAAAACGCTTTTGACTTAATTCATTAGTGGTCGATGTTAAACTTTATGTACTTTGTTGTTATGATATTGGCTCAGGTATTGTTTTATAGTAATTTTAACGAAGCGCGTCAGTTTAATATTATTTATTTTACATTTTTATCAAAATATTTTAACAGATATATTTAAAAAGTTGGAAAAATAAATACTAGGGAGGTTAATTAAGATTTAATTTTACGACATGTCTAATCTAATACCCTTATACTCGCGCACTGTCGCAAACGGCAAATCTAGCCACCGACCGATGCGGAGCGATATAGGTATTGCGGCGGTTTATCAGATTTTGTATAATATATAGTTATGGAACGAATCTAGCGACCGATCGATGCGAAGCGATATAGGTACGCGGCGGTATATCAGATTTTGTATAATATATAGTTATGGTACGATTCTGGCGACCGACCGTTTCGAAGCGATATGGGCATCGCGGCGGTACGCAAATATCAGATTTTTTAATACATAGTTTTGGAACGAACAAGTAAGCAGTTTTTAGATATTGTACCAATATATAGATTTCGTATCAGTTTTGCACTTAACGGTTTGCATCGCCCACCTCTAGTAGTAGAGTTTGCGCTTGGAAATTATAATTTTTTTGCAGTGTGAAAGTGCGAATCGAAAAATTAATAAAAGGGACAATGTCTTGCATTATAGTGGTATGTAAATCCCATTCCTCTAGGAAAGAAAACGACTCCGAAAACATTAGTTTTAGTTATTGTTCTGAGCTTTGTTCACAGCACAGATTGAGTTAGACCAACATTCCACAGGTAAAATTAGAATTTGAATTTTAGAAATGAAAATGAAATGACAACTTTTCGATATTGTTTGGTGCGTTCACAAATATTTATTTTATTCAAATATATATTGCATTCAAATTATCAACCAAGTACGACCGGATGCTTTTGTATGAAGGTTAGAGAACAGGAGGACGATCACCGTAGAAAATAGTGTCCATAAATATGGACACCAAAAGTGAGGCGATTAGATCGCTCGAGGTTCGGTCAATAAAAGTCATTTTGAGTCTATTTTTCCGATCAGATGCTAAACCACTTGCACATCCACGCATAATAAAATATTTCTCAATTTTTTAATGTTTCTTTTTGTCAAAAATTACAAAATTACGGAGCATAAAAATTTTCTCATTAAAAATGAAATGAAAATTTGTACATTATTAAACTAACTTCATCTACTTATACTCATAAACAGCTAACTTCGCAGTCACTACTCACCGACGTCAGCGCCGCTATACATTCTACAATTTTCATGGACGGGCGGGCTATGCTTTAGTAGGTACGTAGTGATCGTTCTCCTGTTCTCTAACCTTCATGCTGGTATATACGCTTACGCTTCATCTCTATTATTAATTTAACGGCATAACAAACATTTATTTTTTATAGATTTGTTTTCGAAATAAAAATAATTTAGGAATGGCAAAAATTAAATTATAATATTATTCATTTTTTTAGTTTAATAATACGAAAAAATGTGCAATATATTCTTATATTTAGAAAGTTGAGACAGTAAATTTTCATTTGACGTAATTCTTTTAAATACAGCTCGGAAACTGTTTTGTCGTTGGTCGACCAAAATGATGCGCTACTGTTGAATATATAGAAAACTACCAACTACTCTATTTATTTCATTCTTTCGTGGTGGTGGAGTGACGAGCCTAAGGTTACCGAAGTCCAATTCCCCGGTCGTGCCTTAAGCCTATTACGCGAGATGTTAAACCCAAATGGGCTGTATATGCGAAATGCTTCTTCGTTTACACAAAATGGCGACTATAGCACGCGGTTTCCCATACAATGCACTCGCTCTTCCCTAAAACGAACTATTGCTTGCCAAAATCTATGAAAGGAATCCTGCTTGATTAGGAGAAAATGAAAATTGGAGCGGATTAACTATTAAACACAATTATATCAAGCAGGAACTAGTAGGAATGTTCACTCACCGGGGTGTTGCTTCTATGCGGCTTGGGCACTATGTTATGTTGCTGCGCTGCGACCTCTGGAAGACACTCTGGGGCCCCAGAGATGCTTTCTTGTCCGGTGATGCGTCGGGAGAGAGTGCGGTGCGCGACTATTTCTCACACGAGGTGAGGCGGGTTTCCTGGAGCTCGACTGCTTCTAGGCTAAAGCGGTTATACTAGCGGTGCTCGTGGGCAATAGCGCTTCTATGACACTATTGTCTTAAGCGGTGTGGTTCCAAAGACGAGCGCAACGGGAAGAGAGACTGCGCGTCGGCCGCGCGTGCCTTTTTATTCCTTCGGTTGCGATGGTCGCGTGATATTCTAGAATCATCTTCTCTCCCCTCCCACCCCACCACCCCGATGTGTCGATAGGAGGGTATGAATGTTATCGTTTGGAAAGGGATAAACGATTTGGCAAGCCTACCGTCAAATATAAATAAAATACGAATGGTTTTCCGCGCAACCACGTGGAAATGGTTCCAATTTAAAAGTACCAACGGTGAGCGATATTTATTTATATCTCGAGATGTAATATAAATTATATTATATCCCATAGTGGAAAGTGGGCTTAAGTTTTAGTTAGTAGATAAAATGACTACCGATAGCATAATGAATTACCTATAGCATATAGTAGATGGCGCTATTACAAATAGAAAATGTTCGGTTCCCAATGGATCTCACAGACTCAACAAAGTACTGGAGCCCGAAGTGGTCCATTTGAATGATCGATCCGAATGTACCAGTCCGCGTGATGAAATGTACTAGAATGATTCGTGTCACTAGAAATCAGTGTTGCCAACTGCACCGTAATTACGGTAAAAACACCGTAATCAGCATAGATCTACCACCTACCGTAGGATTATAATTACGGTAGCAAAATACACCGTAATACCCAATGAAGATCGTATCTAAATATGATTATCTATAAACTAAAATAATTTTAGCGAGTTTGATTGTTTACTTTCTTTACGTTACAGTATTTTCCTTTTATTCTACCGACAACACTGTTTTATGCGTCGGGAAATCCCCCAATAGCGTGGTACCAGCTTGGAGATATTATGCGAACGAATTCGGGGGTGCTGTATGTATTTGAATTTCAATGAATACTTAGAGCTTTTTAATTTTCCTAGTTTATTTGTATCATAAACGAGATACGACTAACATTTCATTAATACTTAAAATTACGTAAGAGTTTGTTGTGTTGTGTTGTGTTGTGTGTGATCTGAGTGTTTAAAAATATGGAGAGTGATGGCGACAGCGCTACTGATCGAGAAGATAGCTTAACACGAGTACCGGCTAAGAGAAAGCGTTATAAGCAGAAGTTTCGGGAAGAATGGTTGCTGAATAAAGAATATAGTGACTGGCTAAGAAAGGATAATAGGGACTTATCGAAGGCGGTCTGCAATGTTTGCAATACATCTTTCAGTGCCGAAATAAGTGTAATAAAACGCCACAAAGAAGGAACTAAACACGTGAATAATTTAAAGAGGTGTAGTGCTTCAACTTCCAAAAAACAACAGTCTATAGTAAGCGTTTTTAAATCCATGCCAACTAATGAAAAGCAATTGGTAAAGACTTCAGAAATAAAATTAGCTGCTTTTGTTGCTGAGCATAAGGTATCTCATAATGTCATGAATCACTTAGCAGATTTGTTACCAAAGTTGTTCCCAGATTCTCAGATAGCCAAAGATATTAGATTAAAAAGAACTAAAGTTCAAGCTGTGATAAATAACTGTATTGGGGAAACTGAAAAAGAAAACTTGATCAGTGACTTGAAATCACAAATGTTTTCAATTTTGATAGACGAAAGCACAGATATTGTTGTAGTAAAAACAGTAGCTGTAGTGGTCAGGTATTTTGATCCAATGATTGGTAAAGTTATCACTCGGTTTTGGAATTTGATTCAATTATTTGATGAGAAAACCACCGATCATGTTGCAAATGCCGAAAAACTTTTTAATACTGTTATAGGTTCATTTCAAAAGTATGAGATTCCTACGGAAAACATCATAGGTTTCGGCTCTGATGGATGCAACACAATGATGGGATGTAACAATTCAGTTTCAAGTCGATTTCGTCAACGTTGTCCAGGCATAATTGTGATCAAATGCATTTGCCATTCTCTGCATCTTTGCGCTAGTGACGCATGTAAAGAGCTTCCACTAAATTGTGAAAAAATGGCGCGAAATATTTATAATTATTTTAAATCCAGTAGTAAAAGGCAGAGTGAGTTGAAAGAGTTCCAGTATTTTGCTGAGGCGGATGTGCACAAAATTCTAAGACCAGCCCAGACTAGACGGTTGTCTTTAAATGCAGTAGTACAAAGGATTCTGGAACAATGGGATGTATTACGTCTTTATTTCAATAGCAAATGGCTGGAAGAATCGGAGTGCCACGATATTCATGCATGCCTGAATGATCCCATAATCAAGGCTTATTACTATTTTTTGGCTTGGATGTTGCCAAAATTTACAACATTAAATAGCTGTTTTCAGAGCGAATCTATTTTAATTACGAAACTACATGGGAAAATGACAGCTTTTTATAAAGAACTGTTACTATTGGTTTTACACAGAAATTATGTAAATTCCGCTCCTATTGAAACTATAGATCCAATGACAGAAATAAATCACAAGGACCTAAAAGACATATATCTAGGTTTAGGTGTCCAGAAAGAACTAGATTCTGTTGAAAATGAAGAAAGAAAGTTAACTCTCAGAAAGATGTGTAAAAATTTTATTATTAGAGCTTGTGTGGGCCTTCGTAAACGATACTGTTTTAATGACAAAATTATGACAGAAATAGCAAAATTTGATCTAGAGAAAGTAATTTCTGATGACAGGGAAGAGTCAGTTTCGTCGTTATTTCCATTACTGCCCAGAATTGCCCCAACTTCAATCCAACATCAACAAGAACTAGATGATGAGTGGCGGAAGTTGCCGTTATACTACAAAGATTTGGATTTAAGTCAACCCCCTGACGTATTTTGGCACCAGGTAAGTTTCCATGTAAACTCGAAGCAACGTGAATTCATATTGGTTTCTATTGTTATAGCAGCCTAATCATTTTTTTTTTCAGGTCGCAGAACTGCGTGACCAACATCGAGAAGGGAATACCTATTTCCAACACTTGCCAAAATTTATGTTGGCCATTTTGTCTCTGCCACACTCGAATGCTGAGTGCGAAAGAGTCTTCAGCAGAGTTAACGATATAAAAACAAAAAAACGGAATAAACTACTAACGAAATCCATCAAGGGAAATCTCTTATCGCAGCAAGCCATACAGCGTCACGGAAAAAACTGTGTTGATTTTAATCCCACTCACGCTATGATCACAAAACATAACAATGATATGTATAAAAATATTGAAACAATTATACTGTCCGATTCTGATTAAAAATATGTTTTTTTTTTTAACTCTGACCCATAACATGCTACTAAATAAACAAGGTAATTCTACCGTATTTCAAATATATATTACAACATAATTTCGAAAATTCTACCGTATTTTTAGAAGAATTCTACCGTCCGCTAGATTTCAGACTTGGCAACACTGCTAGAAATGAATGACACTAACTTGTCTACCAGAGTACCTTTGTATGAACCGTACTTACGGGATTATAGTGTTCTTGGTTCTCTACAACGGGAGCTAGATTTTAATGTCGGCAACCATAGATTACTGACTATGTACTAGAGACCTAGAGAGTCGGCAAGTCGGCAACACTGCTTCTAATAGCTTCTAAGAAATAATATAACTAATTCCAAATTAATTCTTATTTCTTTCATGTAAATAGCGGTTAATCGCTTAAAAAAGTGTAAATTTAATATTGTTGAAATAATAAATCTATAAAATGTCCTTCAACAAATGTAAGTTTATATATTATTTTCACAAATATAAATACTAACATACTATGTATGTATATATACATACAAAATTTGTCAATTATAATTTTTTGTAAGAGAATTTCATGTCAAAAGATATTTAACAATATTTTTACGATTTAATGAACTATTCGTAAGGGGTGACTTATGATTAGGTCGATGTGCACGCCATATTGATTTTCTGCGTAGGTCTCCATTTTTGTTAAAGTAATAAGAGTAATAAACCTAGAAATACCTCTATACCATACCGTACCTATAACCTACAAATTAATAAGGCTTTGATAGTGCTTTACAAACACACTATATTTTCAGATAACACACGTAATACTGGCCGATACAATAATCCGGGACAATTTGTTTCTGCCGGCGAGGTGAGCAATCAATACCATAGTTCCATTTTATATTTATATTTGTGATTTAAATGTGTTTATTAAATTATAAAATTTATTAATTGTCTAAATTATCAATTAGAAATTGCCAACAAATGATTAAATTTCAGTAAGTATATGATTTACTACCTTCACTTTGACAATGTATGCTTACTGTATGCATAAATATTAATAAGTATATGTCAAATTAGTAGTTGTTAAATTATTGTTTGCCAATATATAGATTATTATTTTTCAATAATAATTATTATTTGTATGTGTGTGTATGTTATGACTTGTGGGTGTTTTACTCTTGCTAACCTCTCATGGTTGACTATCATAATATTTCCAAGGTATTTAAAAGTCTATTGAAAACTTTGAGATCTTAGCTTAACAATTATTAAAAAATATTAAAAACAAACTATAGGAAATTAAATTGTATCATCATTACAGCCCTTCACAAGTTCACTGCTGAACATAAGCGTCTTCCAAAGAATGCCGCAAAGCACAGTCCTGAGCCATCTGCGTTAATTGAAATTTGTATGCATAAATAAAATGATGTGTAATTCCTAGTATGAATACCATCTCCATCCCTCCTACAACCCTGCATACTACACACTAGCACTGCCACTGCCACAACTAACGGTAAACACCATTTTAACCTCTACAAGCTATGAAGACATCATCAACCTATTTGCTTGATTGTATATCCACCATGTCCAACCTTTTAATTGTGCACATAGATCTTAGCAGATTAATCTTTTCATATTTAATACTAGCCAGGCAGATGTTGTTCTGCCCTTTTCGACGACAATTTGTCATGTCCTATTAAAAATCCTTAAATTCGTAAAAAAAAATTGTGATTCACTCATGGGCAAAAAAACTATCCTATCTCTCAAGTTCAACCAAACTGCACACGGTGTGCAAATTTGATTAAAATCGTTTAAGTAGTTCAGGAGTCCATCACGGACAAACAACATGACACGTAATTTATATATTAAGATAATGAATTTCCGTTAAGTAACACTACATATTATTAATTTTAAGCAATTATACAAAGATACTTGGTCTTTGATTGTGTAACAATGATTTTTTCTCATTTTGATTCATGCAATCAGTAGTAAAAAAGCATTAATATTTTAAATGTTGTTTATAAAATATATTCATAAGCTGTTTGTTACTACAGCACAACCCTGAGCCACCAGATCCAGGCACTGGCTTTACAAAGTCACAAGTTAAGCTCTGACTGTGTTTAGATATTGACCGTATTTATGCTAACATCGTACTGGATAAATACACATAAAAATTGTGTACAATCTTTATGATGTTGGATTTCAAATACACGAAATTAAAGGTATCTTGTAAATTAGGAAATTTTAATCTTTTTGAAGCTATGGGTTACACTATGGGCTCTAAAAAGATGTATTGTTAACCTACCAGCTTAATGTTGCATTATTTCGGTCGTTTTAAGCCTCTCAGAGTATAACTGAAGACTGAGAATGCATTATGGACACGAAACATTGTTTCGTGAACATATAGGGTTCTCTAGACTTAAGTAGAAACTGCTACCCTCAGCTCCTAATATGTGACAGCCCTCTGAAATTGTAACTGAACATTTAAAAATCATTGTATTTGGATGTAGATAATGTAAGAAAAATGTTGCACTGTGAATGTGTGCAATATATGGTTTGGGGAGGTACTATCTGGTGCAATTTTACTGGGTGGGTTACATGGTAGGAATGTAGGGAAAGATGGTAGATGTTAGTTGCCCTCAGGTATGATTGTTGATGTATGAGTTGTCCTTTTTGAAAATACAATTTCCTTTTGTTAAAAATTTTGTTTAGTTTAGTTAAAAATTACCTTTTGCAATTTTGACATTGTTGTCTATGACAGGTTTGAGTATTTGTAGGTGTAATATTTAAACTTTTAACAAATAGTAACTCAGTCTTACGCCGAATACTGAATATTCTGTGGGCTTCCTGGTCGAATAGCCAAATATTAGGTAAAAGTGGGGAGGGTAGTACTGTTTTTTATTCAGAGCAACTATTCTCGGAAGCTGGTAATTAGTAAAGTACTACCTAAAATGCAGAAAAATCGAGTCTTTCTGCCCCATAATCTTTATCTTTATTATGATTATTCAATTACATAGACCTGTTCTTTGTTATTTTTTATAATACGGTACTTAATTATGTACCTGTGAATACTTTAATGATTATAATAAAAATACATCATTGTAAAATAAATCAATATTTTTATTTTAACAATTATCCAACTACAACAAAACATCTTACTCAAGTATTCGGTATTCAGGCGAATACAGAAAAAGTTAGTAGCCATATATTTGTTGCAAGTCTGGTAATGTTATATGAGATGGGGTACATCAACATCTACCAGAGGCTTTGAGAAAGTAGACTAAAAAGTTCATGAACATCATAGTATGCATAAACTTTTTGTTTGTATAAATAGTAAAGTAATAGCCTTATTTATATCACTACTGGGCTCAGGTCTTCTCTCATTTTCAAGAGGGTTTTCTGAGATCTCTAAATATCTTTGTCATATTTTTTATTCCTTATATTTTAAAATTTATCCCCCAAGGTACCATGGTTTGATATAGTAAAGTAAAAATTTAAGAGTTCATTGCATATGTTTGTAAAATTTCCTTGTAACTGTTAATATTTCACTCTAAATTTCCTTTAGTCCTGTGTGAGTGAGAATATGTGTATATTCTGTGTGTGTGTGAGAGGCAGCTAGCATGACCTTCAAGGCTACATAATGCCACCTGGTGATTGGTGCCAAGCAGGGTCCGCAGCAGGCCAGAATTCCACAGAACAACCAACAGCAGAACCAATTTGGCGGCAATGTAAGTACCTCTTGAACCCAAACACTTAAATTACATTTGGCTGTATTAAGTATAGTAAAAGCAAGTCCCCTCTCAGAGTTCAAAGCAAACATAGAAAAGTTTCCTCTCTGTTTGCTTTAAACTCTGAGCATGTGGTAATAATCTGCACTTTTTTTAAAATAGAATAAGAGTGAAACAAGCATACAGTCCACCTAATGGTTAGCGAATGCTGTAAATGTAACTCATCTACATCTATCCTCACTTAGAATCATAATGCAGATGCACTGTCAACCCTGTGGATTAAGGTGGAATGCCTCTATTCCAGTTAAAATAGAATTGTTTCTTTACACTCACCATACAAAAACCAGCAGTGTCAAGCTGTTATTTTACACTGCTATTTTGTGAGAGTCGCATTTGTGTTACAACTATACTACTAACATAGCTGTAGCATTGCTCTACTATGTATAAATGTGTTATATGCGCCTGTAAAACTACACTAAATAAAAAGAGTACATTTTTGATTTGTGGAAGCATTTTATGAAAGATGTTTGGGAGTAATGATTATAAAATAATAGAACTATATGTCATTACCATTTACCATTACAGCCTATAAAAATCCACTGCTGAACATAGGCTTTCCGCATTAATTGCCTCATAGGACGCATTTTGCCATAGTTGACACCCTTGGCAAGCAGGTTGTCAACTGTTTTTTAATTATTTTGAGTTATTATCAGGAACATGCTGCTGCTCATCACCTGTTTCAATTTCCCTCCGTCGCCTCTGATGACACCCACGGGATGATATAGGGTAGTGGATATTCCTCCACCGCCATCCTACGATTAAAACTGCACATTGCCTTAATTTTATGTGTCGTCATATAAAGTATGTATTATGTTAGTAAATTCGTGATATAGGTAGTAATAGTTTGAATTGATATAACAACAGTGGCAGCAGCCGCCCCCGCCACCTCCTCAGCAGAATATGTTCGGTCAGGTTGAACAGAAAGAGATGCCACCCCCGCCACCAGCACCGCAGTGTGATGAGGTAATTGTTACGCATAATATAAAAAGCTTGTGACACTAATACAAATGTCACACTTCTAATTGATATAACAACAGTGGCAGCAGCCGCCCCCGCCACCTCCTCAGCAGAATATGTTCGGTCAGGTTGAACAGAAAGAGATGCCACCCCCCGCCACCAGCACCGCAGTGTGATGAGGTAATTGTTACGCATAATATAAAAAGCTTGTGACACTAATACAAATGTCACACTTCTAATTGATATAACAACAGTGGCAGCAGCCGCCCCCGCCACCTCCTCAGCAGAATATGTTCGGTCAGGTTGAACAGAAAGAGATGCCACCCCCTCCACCAGCACCGCAGTGTGATGAGGTAATTGTTACGCATAATATAAAAAGCTTGTGACACTAATACAAATGTCACACTTCTAATTGATATAACAACAGTGGCAGCAGCCGCCCCCGCCACCTCCTCAGCAGAATATGTTCGGTCAGGTTGAACAGAAAGAGATGCCACCCCCGCCACCAGCACCGCAGTGTGATGAGGTAATTGTTACGCATAATATAAAAAGCTTGTGACACTAATACAAATGTCACACTTCTAATTGATATAACAACAGTGGCAGCAGCCGCCCCCGCCACCTCCTCAGCAGAATATGTTCGGTCAGGTTGAACAGAAAGAGATGCCACCCCCTCCACCAGCACCGCAGTGTGATGAGGTAATTGTTACGCATAATATAAAAAGCTTGTGACACTAATACAAATGTCACACTTCTAATTGATATAACAACAGTGGCAGCAGCCGCCCCCGCCACCTCCTCAGCAGAATATGTTCGGTCAGGTTGAACAGAAAGAGATGCCACCCCCGCCACCAGCACCGCAGTGTGATGAGGTAATTGTTACGCATAATATAAAAAGCTTGTGACACTAATACAAATGTCACACTTCTAATCCTACGTATTTGTATTACAGAAATAGAAAAAAATTAATGCGATTTAGATCATAGATTATACATAATACTTATTGAAAAACACTTTTATGTTTAGTTTACCACTGTATCGAAAAATACCTCTGTCCTTTGAAGAACTAGGAACAAACCCAGGGACTTTATAAAAATGAACAGTTTACAATTATTAAAGTTGCACAATAACTTAAACACAAAACAAATTGGAAATAGCATGGAGGTGATCACCTAATTTCCAGGGGTTACTATCATCGTAAATTACTTAATAAACTTGGCGGAAGTCCGATTTCGTATATTTTCTGGGATTTTGTTGTAAAAACATATACATTGTGCCAAGAATCAATTACTGACTCTGTAGAGTCGAGTAACTGGTACAACTAGCACATCAATCACATGATATCACGATGTATGGCATGCTCCTAGTTTTGTTACGACATTTATTGTATACAAATATCAAGACATGTTGGTAATACTATAATTTTTAATGTGTTAAGTTAAAAGTAATTTTACCAGTAAAAACGACAAACTACAAGATTAATTTGTTACTTACTGTAATGTATTGTCTCTTTGTAAACAGAGTGACATGAATGATGGTAGTATGAAAATGGAGTCCGAGACAGATGGATCAGTAAACAATGATGACGCGAACTCTCGCCCTTTCTGGATGAAATCTAAACTGTCCGGAGGTGAGCTTTTTTGAAATTCAGAAATTTAAACATTCTGAAGTTGGTTCTAAGTGTTATCACAGTTTAAAAACCTTACAGTTGTGAAACGCCTTTGATGTCGTGATGCCGCCGCCCGCGTAGGTATTTTCGAGGCCAGCGTGTATGCTAGGGGTTGTCACGAAAATAGAAAATAATTTTGGTTATTATAATACTCATTACCATTTATTAACATTATGTACATACTAATAATTTAAAAATATTTATTGAAGGTCGTTTTTTATTATTACAAGAAAAACACATTTACGAGTGTTGCACTGTTTAATACTTTCGGGACACTTTATTTTTATAAATGTTGGCAGTTTTTGATAATTTTGGATATTATAATAATCATTAACATTATGTACATACTTATAATTTAAAAACATTTATTGAACAAGATCGTTTTTTATTATTACAAGAAAAACACATTTACGAGTGTTGCACTGTTAAATACTTTCGGGACACTTTATTTTTATAAATGTTTGCAGTTTTTGATAATTTTGGATATTATAATAATCATTAACATTTATTAACATTATGTACATACTTATAATTTAAAAACATTTATTGAACAAGATCGTTTTTTATTATTACAAGAAAAACACATTTACGAGTGTTGCACTGTTAAATACTTTCGGGACACTTTATTTTTATAAATGTTTGCAGTTATTGATAATTTTGGATATTATAATAATCATTAACATTTATTAACATTATGTACATACTTATAATTTAAAAACATTTATTGAACAAGATCGTTTTTTATTATTACAAGAAAAACACATTTACGAGTGTTGCACTGTTAAATAATTTCGGTACACTTTATTTTTATAAATGTTGGCAGTTTTTGATAATTTTGGTTATTATAATAATCATTAACATTATGTACATACTTATAATTTAAAAACATTTATTGAACAAGATCGTTTTGTATTATTACAAGAAAAACACATTTACGAGTGTTGCACTGTTTAATACTTTCGGGACACTTTATTTTTATAAATGTTTGAAGTTTTTGATAATTTTGGATATTATAATAATCATTAACATTTATTAACATTATGTACATACTTACAATTTAAAAATATTTATTGAACGATCGTTTTTTATTATTACAAGAAAAACACCTTTACGAGTGTTGCACTGTTAAATATTCAGGAACACGTTTATAAATGTTGGCAGTTTTTGATTTGGATATAATAAAAAACATTAATGTTATGCACATACTTATAATTTAAAAACATTTATTGAACAAGATCGTTTTTTATTATTACAAGAAAAACACATTTACGAGTGTTGCACTGTTAAATACTTTCGGGACACTTTATTTTTATAAATGTTTGCAGTTTTTGATAATTTTGGATATTATAATAACCATTAACATTTATTGACATTATGTACATACTTATAATTTAAAAACATTTATTGAACAAGATCGTTTTTTATTATTACAAGAAAAACACATTTACGAGTGTTGCACTGTTAAATACTTTCGGTACACTTTATTTTTATAAATGTTTGCAGTTTTTGATAATTTTGGATATTATAATAATCATTAACATTATGTACATACTTATAATTTAAAAACATTTATTGAACAAGATCGTTTTTTATTATTACAAGAAAAACACATTTACGAGTGTTGCACTGTTTAATAATTTTGGTACACTTTATTTTTATAAATGTTGGCAGTTTTTGATAATTTTGGATATTATAATAATCATTAACATTTATTAACATTATATACATACTTACAATTTAAAAACATTTATTGAACAAGATCGTTTTTTATTATTACAAGAAAAACACATTTACGAGTGTTGCACTGTTAAATACTTTCGGGACACTTTATTTTTATAAATGTTGGCAGTTTGTGATAATTCTGGATATTATAATAATCATTAACATTTATTAACATTATGTACATACTTATAATTTAAAAACATTTATTGAACAAGATCGTTTTTTATTATTACAAGAAAAACACATTTACGAGTGTTGCACTGTTTAATACTTTCGGGACACTTTATTTTTATAAATGTTTGCAGTTTTTGATAATTTTGGATATTATAATAATCATTAACATTTAACATTATGTACATACTTATAATTTAAAAACATTTATTGAACAAGATCGTTTTTTATTATTACAAGAAAAACACATTTACGAGTGTTGCACTGTTAAATACTTTCGGGACACTTTATTTTTATAAATGTTTGCAGTTTTTGATAATTTTGGATATTATAATAATCATTAACATTTATTAACATTATGTACATACTTATAATTTAAAAACATTTATTGAACAAGATCGTTTTTTATTATTACAAGAAAAACACATTTACGAGTGTTGCACTGTTAAATACTTTCGGGACACTTTATTTTTATAAATGTTTGCAGTTTTTGATAATTTTGGATATTATAATAATCATTATCATTTATTAACATTATGTACATACTTATAATTTAAAAACATTTATTGAACAAGATCGTTTTTTATTATTGCAAGAAAAACACATTTACGAGTGTTGCACTGTTAAATACTTTCGGGACACTTTATTTTTATAAATGTTTGCAGTTTTTGATAATTTTGGATATTATAATAATCATTAACATTTATTAACATTATGTACATACTTATAATTTAAAAACATTTATTGAACAAGATCGTTTTTTATTATTACAAGAAAAACACATTTACGAGTGTTGCACTGTTAAATTTAACAGTGCAACGCGTAAATGTGTTTTTCTTGTAATAATAAAAAACATTATGTACATACTTATAATTTAAAAACATTTATTGAACAAGATCGTTTTTTATTATTACAAGAAAAACACATTTACGAGTGTTGCACTGTTAAATACTTTCGGGACACTTTATTTTTATAAATGTTTGCAGTTTTTGATAATTTTGGATATTATAATAATCATTAACATTTATTAACATTATGTACATACTTACAATTTAAAAACATTTATTGAACAAGATCGTTTCTTATTATTACAAGAAAAACACATTTACGAGTATTGCACTGTTAAATACTTTCGGGACACTTTATTTTTATAAATGTTTGAAGTTTTTGATAATTTTGGATATTATAATAATCATTAACATTTATTAACATTATGTACATACTTACAATTTAAAAACATTTATTGAACAAGATCGTTTTTTATTATTACAAGAAAAACACATTTACGAGTGTTGCACTGTTAAATTTAACAGTGCAACGCGTAAATGTGTTTTTCTTGTAATAATAAAAAAACATTATGTACATACTTATAATTTAAAAACATTTATTGAACAAGATCGTTTTTTATTATTACAAGAAAAACACATTTACGAGTGTTGCATTGCTAAATACTTTCGGGACACTTTATTTTTATAAATGTTTGCAGTTTTTGATAATTTTGGATATTATAATAATCATTAACATTTATTAACATTATGTACATACTTACAATTTAAAAACATTTATTGAACAAGATCGTTTCTTATTATTACAAGAAAAACACATTTACGAGTGTTGCACTGTTAAATACTTTCGGGACACTTTATTTTTATAAATGTTTGCAGTTTTTTAAATTTTGGATATTATAATAATCATTAACATTTATTAACATTATGTACATACTTATAATTTAAAAACATTTATTGAACAAGATCGTTTTTTATTATTACAAGAAAAACACATTTACGAGTGTTGCACTGTTAAATACTTTCGGGACACTTTATTTTTATAAATGTTGGCAGTTTTTGATAATTTTGGATATTATAATAATCATTAACATTTATTAACATTATGTACATACTTATAATTTAAAAACATTTATTGAACAAGATCGTTTTTTATTATTACAAGAAAAACACATTTACGAGTGTTGCACTGTTTAATACTTTCGGGACACTTTATTTTTATAAATGTTTGCAGTTTTTGATAATTTTGGATATTATAATAATCATTAACATTTATTAACATTATGTACATACTTATAATTTAAAAACATTTATTGAACAAGATCGTTTTTTATTATTACAAGAAAAACACATTTACGAGTGTTGCACTGTTAAATACTTTCGGGACACTTTATTTTTATAAATGTTTGTAGTTTTTGATAATTTTGGATATTATAATAATCATTAACATTTATTAACATTATATACATACTTACAATTTAAAAACATTTATTGAACAAGATCGTTTCTTATTATTACAAGAAAAACACATTTACGAGTGTTGCACTGTTAAATACATTCGGGACACTTTATTTTTATAAATGTTTGCAGTTTTTGATAATTTTGGATATTATAATAATCATTAACATTTATTAACATTATGTACATACTTATAATTTAAAAAAATTTATTGAACAAGATCGTTTTTTATTATTACAAGAAAAACACATTTACGAGTGTTGCACTGTTAAATACTTTCGGGACACTTTATTTTTATAAATGTTTGCAGTTTTTGATAATTTTGAATATTATAATAATCATTAACATTTATTAACATTATGTACATACTTATAATTTAAAGACATTTATTGAACAAGATCGTTTTTTATTATTACAAGAAAAACACATTTACGAGTGTTGCACTGTTAAATACTTTCGGGACACTTTATTTTTATAAATGTTTGTAGTTTTTGATTTAGAACGAACTGACGTTTTGTTTATTATAAAGGGATGAATTTACAAAAGTTCAATATGGTGATTATATTGCTTTAAATATTTTTTTTATTGGAAACTGTTACTAAATGAATTGCTGCGTTACTTACCATAATTGAAATATAAAATATAACACATTTTTCGCGATGTACCCTAAGATTTGACTATGTTTATAGGAACCACAGACAATATTATTTAAGAAACAAAAACAAAACATATTGCTGACCTAGAAGTGTGAATAATATCAATATTTAAATATTGTTATCACATCTAAATTGAGATTTTGTAAGTTACGCCTTTTGACGCTCGGTTCATATCTGCGGTCATTGTCCGTTTTTCTCAATCGATTTGGCACATACTATAGTGTATATTTGTATTGGAATAAACAATTTTATCAAACAAAGAAATTGGGGGAAATTCAAAATCATTCGACTTCACTTAGTAACTCATATTAAGTATAACAGTAATTCACAATTATAGAAATTATATTTTTCAAACGCGGTACATAATATTAATTAAATAAGTACTATAAAATACGCTTTAGCCAACCGTATATTTGTCTATCAGACTCAGTGAAGTGCGCTGGCACAAGGTCGCACCGCCTTGCAGTGCCCTCGCCGTTGCTCTGCACAAGTACATTCGTTTCCCTACTGTCAGGTCTTAAAACTGTGGTCATATTGTATACAACGTGCAGCTACAATGGTGACTTTAATTTTACACCCGGCTAGGGCTAGTGCCCATTAATCATATTAAATTTGGTAGGTAATAACTCGTAAATTGATTTTTTTTTCAAACACCCTTGCAAAATTCATTCAAAAATTACAACCTTGTACTCGTGATGGTCCGTATCTACTGATGTGATGGGTTGACTCCCGCCAAACGCGCAGATTTTGGTGTTTGGGTGCCCAATGGTGCAGGTTGTGCTGGTTCCATATGCCGTTTCTGGTGAACGTACTTTCGTCAGTCCAACAAATTTGGGAAAGAAAGTCACAGTCCTCTTCAATTTTACTCAGTAACCACTGACAATAATTCACTCTTATATATTATAAGCGTGATAAATTAATAGGAGTAGGAATAGAGTAATGGTACATGTACTTTTCTAACCTTGAATGGGTACCACACTTTTTGCGCTTTAAATATCCGCATATTTAGCTGCTGTAGAGTTCGGATATGTATTTGCCATTACGATCACAAGTTTACACAAGCATTAATAACACAAATAAAAGCGTCCTTATCACAAGAGATGTAAACTTACCTACCTAGATTAGAAAACGAAAACAAAACAAAGCGTCTTTATCACAGTACCATAACCTAATTACACAAAACTTAATAAATAAAACAATGGGTAAAGCGACTTTTTCGCGGAAACATTCACAAAAATATTAGTCGACGTGATTATGGGCACTACTGTGAAGATGTGTGTCAAGGACACGGGTTCGGTGACCACTAGAAATGCAAAATGCATTGATTTCAGTGCGGCGGGGTGAGGGGCACACGTCGCCTGCACCGCCCGCTTGCTGACCAAGTTTCTTTCCTTCAATAGTATTGCTTATTCGTTTTAATTTCAATAATGCGATGTTATGATCCGTGACCCCGCCAAATGACCGCTGCGCGACAGTTCTTTACGTACAGGTTGGTCTAAGATGCTATTTTCTAAAATTTCAAATAAATCCGTAAATAATGACGTTTAATGGAAGTATAATATCTTCATGAAATGAAAATGTGAAAACGCATATGTGTGTTAAAATAAAGTCACCATTGTAGCGGCACGTTGTAGAAGCATAAAAGGTCTAACTTCACAATGTGAATTTTTTAATTTTTTATGGTTTTTAGTACTAAGTCTGCTTTTACTTTTTTTATTAAATCTTATTTTTTGGTCTGAGATCTCAAAACTTGCTCAAATTTTAAAATAATGATAATTTGGCTATAAGAATACTATTATCATTTATTACTTTTCCCATGCAATTTTATTTGATGTTTTCTTTTGATAGCTTAATAGTTTCATGGTTGAAGTCTAGACTTCTAAAGCTTTTCACTCACCATCATTAACTATTTAAACAGTAAAGAAGATCAGCAACAAGGAGCGCCGTCGTCGTCAGAACCAGAGCTTGCGGCGCCTGCTGACTCCTAAGAACGCCCTCATGGTGCTCAATGAGATGTTGCCCAATGAGCAGCTAGCAACTGTGAGTGTTCACTTATGAATGTCCTCCGGACGGAATTTCTGTCACGGCGGCCAATCTTAAAAGAGCCATCTGCACAGTACAGTGTTATAGTATACGACTAATGCGAAAACATGCAGGTGCATTCTCTACTCCATCACTCTCATAATCCGATTGGATGATTATCCGACACGACCGAAGAGAGGTTAGGCACAGGGCCAACTCCTTTACGTGTACGGGGGGTACATGTAAAGCCGTTGGCCATGGCCACCATACTTGGCAGGCAATTTGGTCGTTATTTATCATTGTGGGTTTTTAACGCGCTTTTATTAGCTTGATTTATAAATAAATATGTGTATGTATGATATGAACAATTATGAGTTTATGAATTATCTGAAAAATTATCTGCTATTTTACAGACATTAAGAATCAATGACAATACAGATAACCAAGTCCATTATCAGTGTGTTATTTTAATGTTTATACTATGTTTGCAAGCTCACTGCTGAGTATAGACCTCCCTCAAGAAATGCCACAAAACATGTTCCTGAGTTCCCCTGCATTCATTGACTTTCTGCGTGCAGGTCTTCACTTTTAACCACTATTACACCATTTAGAGGGGGGCCGCCCTGTACTTTGCTTCCGGTATGGGGTTGCCACGTGAGAACTTTCCCCATTGGTTGTTCGTTCTTTGAGCTTTGACAAAAATTATTAATTTTTTTTATAGAATAAGGGTGTGTGACAAACGAGTACACAGTCTCCCTGATGATAAGTGTATGCTGTGACCCATAGAAATGCAGATGAGTTGTCACCCCTGGGTAATAATAAGATGGAAAGCGTAATTTCCAATAAAAAGATTCTCTAGTTCTCTATACTCACTATACTAAAACAGAAGCATTATACTACTATTTTCCGCTGTTATTCTTTGAATCCTTCCTCGCCCAAGCGACCTATTCTTGCTACAATCGTATAGCTGCAACATGACACCACTTAAAAATTCTATTATAAGCTGTTGTGTAAGATTCTGTTATAAGCTTATAAGGAATTACATAAGAGATGATAATTTAACTTTTTTCTTTTACTGAGGTAATGTTCTGTGTTGCAGCAATTCCAAGTGATGCCAACTCCCAGCAACAATCAGTACTACAAGCCGCACAGCTTCTGCGCTGATCTCAATCTTGATGGAAACAAATACACAGGCTATGGTGAGTAAATACATTGTAAATATATTTTAACTGTATACATTTAAACTTCTTTTTTCTTTATTCTTATTGTATAAGTCCAAGGTTGAAATTGAGCCCCTCCCGTTGCAAGGAGGATTAACTGTCACACTCAGAAGTTGGATTGACGATCGTAGTAAGTCGCAATACAAACCTATGACGCTACTTTATACATTATGTGAATATAGTCTAAACTTTATACACCAAGTGTTTTTTTTTTGTAGTATAGGGTGACAAAGTCCACCTGATGGTTAGTGTTTGTTGTGAATTTAGCACAGAGAGTGGTGACGATGAACAAAATCCATTGGGCTATTCATAGTTTCCTCCTCTATAAGGCGGCAGGACCTGACGGCATACAGTGTGGGGGGTAAAGCCGTAATAGTCAGACTTGTTGCCATAATGAGAGCATGTCTGGCTCTTAAATATTTTCCTAGGGGATGGAGGGATGTGAAAGTCACGTTCATACCCAAACCAGGTAAGAGTGACTATACAGAGCCTAAATACTACAGACCCATTAGCCTCACATCCTTTCTCCTAAAGACGATGGAGAGTATGTTTGAACGGGAGTTGAGAGCGTCGGCTCTAATTAACTTACCGTTACACGGAAAACAACACGCCTATAGCTTAAGTAAATCGACAGAATCGGCACTTCACCACGTAATGACAAAGATTGAAGAGGCCATCCAAAACAAAGTGTGGGCGGCGCTGTCGTCGCGCCGCAAGCGAAACACCGAAGCCTAAATAAATCACGCTGTCAAAATTCCGAATCATAAACAGTATATATCCCTTTCGCTCTGACAGCGCGCGACATGTTATACTCCCGTTCGCTCGGGACCGTAATGGCGGGAAAATTTGCAAATTAGCAAATTTTTTGCTATATTGCAAATTTTGCTATATTTTCACTTTGAGACAATATTTATGGATAAAACTTACAGGATTTCTTGTTGAATGTATAAACTATCGAATAAAATTATTTTTGGTTGCTAGAAATTGTAATAAAATACATAAATTACCCTATATAGCATAGTAGTACCATATACTTCAATTTTAGTGACAAAATTACTACTAATTTGAATTCTAAACTTTGTTTTTTGGAGAAATTTATATGAAAATGTTTGGAAATATGTATATTTTTATGTTTTATATGTTTCCATTCGTTACTCATACCAAAATATTGAAATATAAAAAAAACTATAATAATATTTTATCTGTGTGACATTTAGAACAATATTTCAAAAATAATTATGTGTGAATTTGAAATAAATACAACGTCAAGTTATTTGAAATATATAAGAAAACTATTTTTACTTACATTTTACACTAAAAATAAATGAGAATATGAAAAATAACGCATTTATGACCCAGCCGCCATAATGGGCCTTCCAGATTTTGAAGCTCTTTTGGCAATTTACTTTTCACTTTTTATACCACAAATTATATATTTTCGTGTTCACTATATTACAAGGAATATAAAAAAAGAATAATACTTTCGTTTTTAGTCCAGACACAATTATAAAATTCTATAAAAAAAGATGGAGCACATTCATCAAAACGACACGTGGAACGCCGAAAGTTTAGAGTGATTTCTTTTTTTTTTTTCTAAGAAACATTGCCAGGTTATGGTTTAAAATAAAAGAGCATATCTTTGTCTTTGATACTATTATCTATTGCATATTGTCTTTGGTTTTGTTTTAAAGGAAAAAGTAGTTTTTTCATAAGGCAGTACTTCTGATATTATCTGATCTAATTAGCCCCGTACTAGAGCGGGCGTAAGGTAGGTATTGTATGATCTGATTAGATTGTTAGCCGAGCGAAAGGGATATAGAACATCTCCGGATCACACGGAGCGTTGGCCGCTCCCCGGCCACAACACCTTGCCCGGCGGGAGATCTCCCCTTTTCCTTCCACGGCCACAGTGGGTCGGCGCCGAAAGTTAAAACAATACATATAGAAGGATAGATAGGATATATATATATATATATATATATATATATATATATGAAATAATTATTTCTTTAAATAAGGTTAAATAGATAAATGTGTGTGGTGGGTTTGGCGTTTCGGTTTTAACGACCAAACTGCTGGTTCATTAATTAATTCATATTAAATAATTTTATGCGGTGCGGCTATTAATTTAAATAGAGTAGTGGACTGTATATGAGCGCGGTGTGAGCGGTGAATGGAATTTAATTTATTCGTGATACTGCAAATGCCCTAAATTCGGGATATAGGAAGGACGTGAAGGAATGCATGTGCCCACCCACCTGGACTTCCGCTGATCTGCCTCGTGTCTCGATGGCTGCCGGCTTTCTTCACATTTATCAACTTCACAGATAATCTTCGCAGATAGTCACGAAATATAGCGTTATTGCAAATGTCTATACTTTTTACTATGTGCTTGTATAATTCAATATCCAAATTACACAAGGGCGGGAGCGATGATGCGAGATATAAGCGATGCGGTTGGTTGCGTGTTTTCTCAACTTGTGTGAGCCCGTTAACACGAATGCACATGCTGGGCATAAAAGGTGGTAGGTAGGAAACCGAAAATGGGCTTTGCAGTAATCTTATTGGATAATAATCAACGAATCCCTTATAAGCGTTAAGCGATAGTGCAAAGTGGCGCGAACAGTGTGAGTCGCCACATCACCCCTCCAGAGACCGTGTCTACGGGCGATAATAATCTGGGAAACGTACTCTGCGCCCAGAACGAGTTGTTTTGCACTCTGTTATCGGCATTGGGTTGCTATTTGGAAGTGGAGAAGGTATGGGATCAGGAGTGGGTTTAAGTGACGGAGAAGGAGTTGGAGTGGGGTCATTGGAGTTGGACAGTACGTAGGCTGGTTTCAGTCAGTCTACCGATACTGTCACGACTTTTGCCCTTTACTCTAATTTTAAATGTTTTTGCATTCCTCTCAACCACTTCATGAGGGCCAGTATACGCCGGTTGTAACGCACCTCTCAAACTATCTTCTCGAAGGAAAATGAGCGAGCAAGATGGAAGATCTAGATTTTGTTTTTGGTGTGGTGAGAAGTTGGGACTGGAGTAAATTGTTGGCAAATGATCTGATACGGGCTGAAATGTCTGTTATATCAGTCGTGCATTTGTCAATTTTGTGGCCAAAAAATTCACCAGGGAGTCGCAATGGTTCGCCGTATACTAACTCGGCTGAGGAAGATTGAAGATCTTCTTTGAAAGAACTTCTTATGCCGAGAAGCACAAGTGGTAAAGCTTCAGTCCAGCTGCTATGCTGTTTTCAATTGCCGATGAAATCTTTCGACGAGACCATTGCATTACGGGTGATAGCTGGTAGTCTTGCGATGCTTAAAACAAATAAATCTTGATAGCTGCGCGAATAGCGATGATTCAAATTGTCTACCGCGGTAACAATTCGGTAGGACAACCGAATTGTGCTATCCATCCCGGAAAAACGCTTTAGTCACTGATTCCTCGGTGATATCTGTCAGTGGTACAGCTTCGGCCCATCGCGTGAAGCGATCGACAGCTGTGGCCGTGGAAGGAAAAGGGGAGGTCTCCCGCCGGGCAAGGTGTTCTGCCCGGGGAGCGGCCAATGCTCCGTGTGATAGTTCGGAGATGTTCTATATATTATACTGTTTATTCGCTTGCGGCGCGACGACGGCGCCGCCACATCACCCCCCTGCTCAGACTGGAGGTCGATAGTGCAGCCTCGTTGCCGACAAATGTGCAAGTGCCAGTGGATTGCCTTGTAGTCTGCGGTGAGTCGAGAAGAAGGCAAGTAATCTGCGAGAGTGTCGTGAAACAGAGGCGAGTAGTAAGGCTCAGAGCCGTGCCGAACACTTTATAGCGCAGAGAGTAGCTTGAAGGAACATTATTATTCCAGTGCTGCGATGAACCTTGTGAAGCTAGATGGCTTGCAGGATATGAATACTGCCGACGATATCTGCTCGGGAGCGAATGGGTGGGGTATTCTATGATGATGATGAAGCTTGAAGTTTCCGAAGGTTGTTGGTTGCGTGTTCAAATCACGTCGGGCTCACCACTGTGGCCGTGGAAGGAAAAGGGGAGATCTCCCGCTGGGCAAGGTGTTGTGCCCGAGGAGCGGCCAACGCTCCGTGTGATAGTTCGGAGATGTTCTATATATACTGTTTATGCTTAGGAATTTTGACAGCGTGATTTAGGCTTCGGTGTGTTTCGCTTGCGGCGCGACGCCAGCGTCGCCACAAAAGTAATATGTCTAGGCTCCTTCATAGACATAGAAGGTGCTATTGACTGAACAAATTTCTCCAGCATAAAAGGTGCACTAAGTAGACATAAAGTTGAACCAGCGCTGATTGACTGGATACTAAACATGCTCAGTACACGAACAATAAAGATTGCTGGTGAATCTCAAACAATTCAGATCATGAAAGGATGCCTGCGGGTGGGGTTCTTTCACCTCTCCTGTGGAATATGGTCATTAATGAACTCTTCGGAAAATAAAATACTAATCATTTCTACACAGTAGGTTATGCAGATGATTTGAAAATACTCATCTTTGGAAAGACAGCAAGCATGGTGTGCGACCTGACCCAAGCGGCTCTCCGTATAGTGGAGAGATGGTGCAGGGAATATGATCTAACAGTTAATCCAAACAAAACGGTTCTAGTAATGTTTACACATAAACGAATGCTGAATAACTATCATCTCTCAAGTCTTTTCAGCACAAAACTCCAGCTAACCTCTGAGATAAAATACTTAGGTCTTACCATGGACACTAAACATACCTTATTTCACCTCTCCTGTGGAATATGGTCATTAATGAACTCATCGGAAAATTAAATACTAATAATTTCTACACAGTCGGTTATGCAGATGCTATGAAAATGTCTCTGGAAAGACAGCAAGCATGGTGTGCGACCTTAACCAAGCGGCTCTCCATATAGTGGAGAGATGGTGCAGGGAGTATGACCTAACGGTTAATCCAAACAAAACGGTTCTAGTAATATTTACACAAAAACGAATG